ACAGAATGTGTCACATGTAGTTCTTCATTTCATGGCTTTTTGTCATCTTTGTCGTTTGTCTTTTCCACATCTAAAATGAAACATGTATCAACATGTACATGTATATTATTATTTAAATTTTATTAAAAACCTGTTTCTTCAAGTGGTCGGTTTAAGTATGGTTCCACATTAGTGTCGCTCGATGGTTCTATTAATAAAATAATACATGTACATGTTGCAGTCAACTTCAAATTTGTATTACTTGATAGAGTAGCAATGTTATAAGGAGAGATTTCAGTATCTGCAACTACCTCTGCTTTTCCTGTTATTTCTGGGGCACTGGGCTCTTTTTCCTTGCTTAAATCAGCTAATTTTTCTCCAACTTTTTCTAGAGTCAAGGCCATGCCCTCCATCTTTTCCTCCATTTTTTCATCCATATCCTCCATTTTTTCACCCATATCCTCCACCCGTTGCCTTAATACTTGCATTTCTTGGCTTTCCTTAAGGGCCTGCTTCATCACATCTTTGATTAAGTCTGTGACTTCAGCCCGTTGCATGTCAGTAACACACGTTTGTCTAGCAATCTGTTGTTGTTGTTGTTGTTGCATTTCGCGTTGTGCTTCATTGATTCTTTGAGCACAGGCTCTTCTTACTTCTTCTATTTGCTGTCTGCATATTTTTCGTTCCTCTTCCAACTTCTCTGTTGCCTCTTCTATCTGTTTTTCAAGCATTTCTTGTAATGACAAGATTCTTTTTATTAGTGTGGCAATATGACTGTCTTTATCGCTCATCTCTACCAATAAAGCATAATACAATGTAATTGTGTGTATATCTCAAGGTATTTGTACATGTACACTGTACCTTTACTCAAATATTCTGCATGTCTTGTTTTGGCTTCTTTCATCTCTTCTTCTTTGATTTTCAGCATTGCTATCTTTTCTTCTAATGATTGGATTCTTGTCATTAGTTCAGAAATCTGACAGTCTTTATATTGATTATCTTTGATTGCTAAAATACATGTACATGTTAAATAAAGCATACATGTACCTGTGTATTTCTAGCTACCTTCGCTCAAATGCTCTTCATGTGTTGTTTTTGCTTTCTGCATATCTTCTTCTTT